TTCGGATTCTTGCAATCCAAACAAAATAGTTGAAGAGTCGAACAAAGATGTCGGCGCATTTCAACTCCTAGAAGATTATAGCAATAGCATCAAACGATTTCAAAACACTTTAACAAATACATTTGTTAGAAAAATTGGATGTAAACCCAATTTTAATAAAATAGTTAAGTGGGTTCCGTTTATAAAAAATGGAAATAAAATTTAAATTAACGATCTATGTTCCGAGTAGATGAATCTAATGTAGTTAATTTCTCAAAACTGACTTTGAATGAATGAAAAATTAATGCATAAAAATGGACACTTAAATAAGATTAGTTTATGAGAAATGGGAAGGTGAAAAGATAACATCCCACATTGGAAAAAAGAGTTTTGATGAGAACACTTAAATAATGGAAGATGGATTGTTAAGAGTATAATTAATAAACAAATGTGAGCTAAGTGCAAAACCACATGTGTGCCACCGCCGCCTACCTGATTTCCCCCTCGTTGGGAATATTTGGGCCTATTTGGACTCAAAATTAATCAAGTTTTGTGGGTTTAATTAATTAATTAATTCAAATTTAATAGTTCTAGTTAATTGGAGCGCCACATGTGTCCTCAAATAACATCATTGTCCACTAGGCGGACATACTTGTATGTCCGCACGCGCGTCAAGTTGCACCTCATCATCGGAAAGGTGATTATTCAAGTTGAATTTGTGCTTGATCCTTGCGAAAAGATGCCACATATTTTCCACTCTTTTTTTTTTTTCTAAAGTTGTGTCTTTTGGACAGAACTTTTTCAACCCTATAAATAGAGCCCCTGCAAAATGGAAAACTCATTCATTCGTATTCAAGCAATTCACTTCATACAAAAGCAAATTGTTCATATCTTTTTTCGCGTCTAGAAAGTTCAAAACTCACGTTCTGTTCGTTGTAGTTCTACTCTTGTTGTGCTGCAAAACTCATCTTAGGGACAATTGGCTAAAGAATGCAATCATATATACGGGCCAATATTGTCTTACGGAGAAATAATCTAATTCTTGCCTCGACTTATTTTTTTTATCCAAACAGTCTGTTCAAAAGTGCATTTCAAAATATACCTCTTAAATAACACAAACTGTAGTAGAAATGTCGTTTAACCACCGCACCATATTCTGCAATTGTGGAATAAAGCTCGTACTTGATAAAACTTATCGTTTGAAGTTGCGGGATAGATTGAAAGTGCATCCTATGTTGCATGTGAGTTTTCTGAAGAAGTTCAACCAAGATTTACTTGATGAAACTCGGAAGCAAGCGAAGAGAGCCCCACCTGTAGTCTGAAAGGAATTCGAGAGAGAGAGATCCAACAAATTCTGGACCACAAGACCCAAAGTCAGAGCAAGAAGAACCGGAGGACTGAGTTTTTGATACATTGGAAACATTCAGAGGTGTTTGATGCTACTTGGGAAAATGAGGTGAATATGTGGCAGTTTGTAGATGAGTTGGCAAAGTATTGTGAGAACTTGAAACGGGTGAATAGTTCGACGAGGGCGTCGAACGCCGTCGGTGGGGAGGTCTGTTACCCCCTTAAACGGATACATCAACTATGACTCGAGTGTGGCCGAGTTATAGTCAAAATGAGGCCAAGAGGTAATGGCACAAGACATGATGCACATAGGCCAAACGGTGGTCGAGTGATTGGCAAGCATTGGGGTGCTTGGCCAAGAAAAGTCAGGCAAGGGTTTTGGAGTGTTAGCAAGCGCATAGCCCAAGATCTTGTCGAGAACGACATGGCAAGACTTGGTGGCTGGCATGGGCGAGTCTCGGCAACCTCGGACGACAAGTGTGGGCAAGGCTAGCGCGCGTGCGGGCAACATCGACCATCGGGCCCGCGAAGGTCGGTTAGGCAGGTCGAACGGCTGATTGACTTGGAAAGTTATGAAAGGCATTTGCGGAGCGGTGTGCACCCGCATGTACTTAGAAATTGTCCCTTCAATGTTGTAACAGTTAGCCAAGTGGCTGGCATGTGTGTCGCCATGTGTCCCTTGACAGTTTAGTGTGTAAATTACATTGTACCTTGTATTTGTAGGCCCTTGAGTGCACAAATCCGACCCATTCAGATAGAGGGACTCAGATTGCAATTGTTAGCATCTGTTGTGAGGATTCATTGTGTGTACCAATGGTTTTCCTTGTATTATTCATTAGTTGATTAATAATGTTTGGACGATGTCCGTAAATGACTCATGTTGTTCGATTTTCGCTGCATAATTGTGGTTGTTGTTATTTACTTGATTCGACGATGGTGCCATACTGGTGTGTGAAAAATTGTTGAGCGGACTGACTGATTTAGATTGTAAATCAGCCCGTACGGTGGAAATTTTTTTTATTGCAAGTTTACCTCTGTATATAACACACACACACACACACATATATATATATATATATATATATATATATATATATATATATATATATATATATATATATATATATATATATATATATATATAAATAAAATTGGTCTATAACTTATTATTTTTCATATAAATAACTTATAATAAAAACTAAAATTAATATTCTGTAAAAATTAGAAAAAAAAATATAAAATGAGCTGAGCTCGAGCTCGACAGACTTGACTCGACTTGAGTTCGAGCTTATCAAATGAAATCTCGATGAGCTTGAGTTCAAGAAATCTGGCGAGCTCGACTCATTTACACCCGTACAGTTGTGCTTCCAAGGTGGGTTGAATCTACAAATTCTTAAGAGTTTAGTGGGCATTTCTAGCAACTTCAAAAACTAAGGGCATCAAATTGAAAAAAACGTTATTTGTGAGAAGTAGAATCAATTCCGAATCTTCACTCCCTCCGCAAATTCTTCACTCTGCAAAAGAAAACGGGAAATCGAAAATGGGGATAAGATTCGTTGTAATGGTGAACAAGCAAGGCCAGACCCGCCTTGCACAGTACTACGAATACCTAAACCTCGACGAACAACAGCTCCCTATTAATTACTATGTTGCCGTTGTCTTTATTTTTTTTGTTGTGTGTCTGAATCTTTTGAAATCCGATGATTGATTCATCGGAAACTGATTTGATTTCTTCGCAAAATATTATGATCGCTGTTAGTTACTGATTGTATCTTTGCCCGTTGGATTTGGTTGATGGTTTGATTGTAAATAAGGCATTTTTTGGATGGTGTGATGTGGTATGTAAGTATTATGCACATAATTTTGATAAGAAAAACTAAATAGACGAATTGAGTAAAAAATAAAAATGGTTGGTTATGATATGTTGAAATGTATTATCTTAGTAGTTTACTGATTTTTATTTAAAATTGAATCATTTACGTTACGATATGCTAATGATCTTTCGTTGCTCGTCTGGAATGACTTGTTCGCTTCTTAACTTAATTTTGTAGAAAAAAAATGCAGCGAAAGAAATCATATCAGTATTTCGGGTACACTGGTTTGTTTCTCGTATTTCTTATCTTACTTTTTTGTTTCTGTGTTGAAACAGTGTTCATTTGTCGAGCATCTGAATTACAAAGTAGTGTATCGACGATACGCATCGTTGTTTTTCCTGGTCGGAGTTGACAATGAATTAAGAAGTAAATCATGCTGTCTCGAACCGAAAGATCTTTCATCGATTATATCTTGTAATTCTTTGTTCTCCCATAAATCTGATGGAAATGATTTCGTAATGAACAAGCTCACTTTCATTTGACTCGATTAAAGATCTCCGATTGTAGCTCGTTTCCTAATCAGAACAAGCTAAATATTACTTTAAGCGACATAAGATTTACGATCAAGCTAGAATGTGGTATGCGCTTAATTGTAATTTCGCCTACTATTTATGCGACTGAAATAACGAGTCGAATTGGTGTATATCGAAACCTAAATGTAATTATTTAATGTTGATAGATTTTTGCAATTATGGAATTATTAAACTCCGCGCTTTCTATATAACTGTGTTTACAGAATGAGCTTGGAATCTTGGAATTCATACACCTGCTAGTTGAAACGATGGACCGTCATTTCGGAAATGTGGCAAGTTTCTAATCAGAGAAAAAAAGACGACGAAGAAAAAAAAAATTAAAAAGAAGAAGAAAATTAAGTCTTGAGTTGTGTGGTCGTATTCGCAGTGTGAGCTGGATATAATGTTTCATTTGGAGAAAGCGCACTTCATGCTGGAGGAGATGGTAATGAATGGATGCGTTGTCGAGACGAGCAAGGCCAACATTCTCTCTCCAATACAGCTAATGGAGAAAGCTTCGTAGAATTATTTTTAACTCCAGTGCGTTTTCGAAATTAGATATTGCGGGTTTATTGCATTTGTATCATTTATGTGTGTAAGTTGTTACGTTCACGGTAAAAAAGACCTCTCGCCTGTAGATTGTCGCGTAGCTCAAGTTAAGCTTCTAGCCGACCGATTGGATTGACCGTTTGATCGGCTAGACTTAGAACCGGTTGAAAAATCAATTGGACCGACTTTCTTCTTTCCCAATCTTTAAAAAACAAATAGGAGTAGAAATACACATAAGAGTTAAATACAGTTTACGCCCCTGAGTTAAATACAGTTTACCCCCTTAAAGTATCATCTGTAACACTTACTCCCTCAAGCTCAATTCAATTTGTATTTTAAATTCTAATACCTTAACTTTTTTTATTTTAAATAATAACTAAATGAATAATTAAATTATACAACTAAAAACATCTGTTGAAAAATGCAATATTTTAAAATTTAAAAATGGTATCTTGTATTGTTGTGTACATATTTAACAAATAACATCTAATCGTTAGTGGACCAGTTAATCGAATCGGTAAATTTTAAGAAATCAATACATAAATAATAATAATCTTAAGTATTTAAAATTATTTTATTTCATAATTTCTTAAAATATATTTTCATTCGTTATTATACAATATATATTAATTTTTTTTCCAATAATTTAATTTTAGTTACTTTTCAATTTTTATGATCCAATAATTATTAGATTGTTATGTTTATTATGTTTTAATTTTAAAATATAAAATATTTGATGTTGAGGGGGGTAAGTGTTATCTATGCTATACTTCAGAGGTGCAAAGTGTATTTAGCCATACACATAATAATGCCTAAAACTGAAAGAAGCCAACTATTAGTAGAGCAGCATCACATAGCAGCTGGCCAGCCGCCTTTCCTAGGATCGCTGACAGCTGTCAGTACTCCACGTACGACATTGTCTAGCTTCGTTTTTCGCCCGAAACCATCAACTGTATTCGTCGTAAGATTTTGAACGACAAGCTGGCATATTGCACCCCCTGCTTTAGCATCCAGTTGATGCCCTCTCTCTCTCAAGAATCCCTTTCTCTCTTCAGAAAGTTCTATGTGTTCTCCGTCCACCACCGTCCAGTTCTCGTACGACACAACATTCGGGATCAACTGCACATATTTTATATAAATATATATAACATTTTCAAGTCTCGATATTTTTTTTTAATTTCTAAAATATATACAATAAAATTACCCTGTGGTAGACTCTTGCACTCTGAACACCTGCTAAAGGGTCCATCCCCAACACGAAATGGTTGACGAAAACCTGTGCCACCGCCGGAATAATTTCCAAACCGCCACTCCCACCAATAACCCCAGCTAATTGATTATCCTATATATTAAATTATATTAGTGAAATAAATAATTAGACAATGTATCTAATTGAAGTATATATACAGTTAAACCTCTATAAATTAATACAGTTGGGACCATCAAAATCTCATTAATTTAGTTATATCAACTTATCTATAAATTAATAATTATTAATTTATACATTAATTACAACTTATTAATCTACGAAATTATTTTATTACTATTTTCAATAAATACATTTAGTTTTATCTTTTTATGTGTATATTATTCATTGTACCATTAATTCAATGCACTATAGAGCCCGTTTCACGAACGGAAGCTCTTAAAGCAGCAATGATATTGAACAATTTTATGTTGAGTTATGAGAAAACTATACCACAAGTTCTAACTATGATAACAAAAGTGAGGGACGAGATTTATGGTAATGTGAACTTCAACAAGAAACAAGCGCTAATTGATTTATATCTTTATTAAGCTTCATAGATCTATAAAATATGTATTATACCATGTAATTAAGAATTATTTTTATGTATTATTAATTAATATATTATATGGGGCTTCTTAAAATTTTTGGATGTCTATTATCTTATAAATTTAGCGAATTGTTAATTTAACACGTTGTCCCCAAGTCGAGACCGGGAATATTTATTATTTAAGCGAGGTTATTAATTTATCGAGGTTCTACTGTATATCCTAAAGAAAAAAGAAAATATGTTACCTTGAGGACAATGAGTGGGGTCATTGAAGATAAAGGCCTCTTATTTGGTCTAATAAAATTAGTAGGTGCAGGTGGTAACTTATCGGTCGATTTGTCGCCCGGGGTTGAAAAATCGTCCATTTCGTTATTGAGAATTATTCCAGTTGAAGGTGAGAGCACTCCACCTCCAAACGGATAATTCACAGTCGTCGTCATTGAAACGGCGTTTCGATCCGAATCTACCACGCAAAAATGGCTCGTCCCGTGTTCTCTTAGTTGACTCCATCTTTAAAAAAAAACTAATAATAAATAAATAATATTTATTTAGTTTTTTTTAATACTGGGGATTGATTGTGTACCTAGGCAAATAGTATTCGGGAGGGAATGTGGTGTTGTCGAATATCTTGTCTCGGACACTCTTAGCTAAGGAAGGCGAAAGCATTTCCGAAACGGTTTTGCTAATATTTACGAAATCGGGGTCTCCAAGATTCATTCGTATAGCTAACATATGCTTTATAGCTTCGATCAGACGATGCAGGCCTAATGGACCTTCAGCAGCATTTGAACTTCTATAGCTATCTAACACATTCAAAATCTGTACCCCTCATACACCAAATACATCAGATAAACAAATACTGCACACAAATTATAAGAGTGAATTGCAAATATTTTTTTTTCAAATTGCTAAAAGAATCCCTCTTTTTATTTTTATTAGCATGAAACCCCTCGGCATTTACGTTTTCTTTTTAAGTTCACAGGATTTTGAATTTTGACTTTCGATCGGGTTTATGCTAATAGAAAAATGATAAGATTTTTATGACAATCAGAATAAGGTGGTGTTTGCAAAAAAAATTAGAAATAGATTATGAGCTTTTTTTTTCACTCATAATCTGTTTTAAGGTGTTTGCAAAACCGACTTTTGCTTTTGCTTCTCTTAAAAATAAGCTGCTTTAAGCTATAATTTTAAAAGCAGCCATGTACCTGCTTTTTTTTATTTAAATTGATTTTTCAATTTTTTCGCAAACACCCCCAACTTTTAGAATTAAACAGTTAATATTAACTTAACTCACAGTTACTAACTTATGCTTTTAAATAAGTTTTTGCAAACACACACCTAAGTAAAGGAGTACACAATGCCAAAGAAATAAATAGATAAAAATACAAAATAATCAATTTTATTATTAAGTTGAAAATGAGTAGAAAACGAACCAGAGAGAGACCGATTGTCCCGGTAGAAGGAGGCGGCATTCCCAAAATCGTATAACCCATAGTATTTACTTCAACTGCGTCCGTAACATGGACTTTATAGTTTCTCAAATCGGCCATAGTCAAAATTCCACCAGCTTTCCTCACATCTTCGATAAGTCTTTCTCCAACTGTTCCATTATAGAAAGCTTGAGGCCCTTGTTCTGCTATTGTTTCTAAGCTTTTTCCGAGTTCCAAATTAAAGCACGTTTGACCGGCTTTTAGCAGTTGACCGTTCGGTGCGTAGACTTGTCTTAAGCCGGGGTCGTTCATTATCTTTTTTGCTTGTGCGGCAATGCGGGACCCGAGATAAGGGCTCACTGCAAAGCCTTGTTTGGCTAGTTTGATTGCGGGTTCAAATAACGTCGACCAAGGTAAACGCCCGTATTTTTGCCATGCGGTGTGAAGTCCGGCTAATTCACCGGGGATGGCCATTGATAATGGGCCCTCGTACTTGGCAATTGCATTGTTGTCGTACATGTTCTAAACGAGAATTCATATTTAGATTCATTAGAGAGTTATATATACGAAAAATAGTACAATATACTATGGCCTAATTGTATTGTTGCACCATGACAAGTCCAATAAATAATTTCACAATTAAGATTAGAGCCATTTTTGTTTACAATTGTGGGGTGGATCCGAGTAGTTATTGGACTAATAAGATCAGAATATTTAATTAATCATGACTGATCTTACCAACCAAACAAAATGATTGATTTCGATTCGTTAGAAAGTGTTAACAAGATACAAAAATAGTACAATATGCACTATATATATATATATATATATAAGGCCAATTTAATTCCTTATTTTTTTTAATTATTTTTATTTTATTTTTAAACCCTCTTTGTGTTTTAGAAAAATATTCATGTAGTACATTTCTTTCATCTCACTACACCCAAAATAGTGAGCTCCAAGAGGTGCTTTTGCTTTTGCTTTTCCATCATAGAGATTTTATGGTAATAAAAATGACAGTAATTAAAAAAAAAAAACATCTAGTTTTAAGTTTTTAACATAATGTACAAAGTGTGAGAAAATAATTTATTTTTTTAAATAAATAAATAAACCATGACTGAAGCTAAATTACCTGTGAAGCAGCTGATGGAGCAGTTTCTCTCATATCAATTGCAAGTGCACCGGACGTAGTCGATGAAGATCGGACGACCATAAAACCTCCGCCTCCGATTCCGCTAGACATCGGAGAAACAACCCCGAGGCACAGTGCAGTTGCAACAGCTGCATCCACCGCATGTCCGCCTCTTTCCAGTACCGATATCCCGATTTCTGAGCAACGCCCATCGTCCGCAGCTACTACTGCTTTACGCGACTCTATTACTTCTTTCTTTTTATAACCATTATTATTATTACTATTATTCGATGAGTACTTATAATGTTCATCATCTTTTCTTCCATCAAGAATGCTCAATTGATCTCCTCCAAGAGCAACCCCTGGAATCAATTTCATTGCCATAACAATCAATTTTAATATTTTGTTTATGATTTGATTTTTGGCATTTCATTGAATTTTAATAATGAACTATATATATATATATATATATATATATATATATATATATATATATATATATATATATATATATATATATATATATATATATATATATATATATATATATATATATATATATATATATATATATATATATATATATATATATATATATACAAGGTAATTTTCTAGTTTTGTTTTTTCTGTTTCTAGTCTTTGTTTAGTACAAGATTAACTTTCGGTATACACACTACTTTTGTCCATAATCTTTTGCCAAATTAAAAAGATTGAAATGAAGAATCAAGAATTAAGAAAATAGCCAAGAAAATATTTGAATATTCCGGCGAGGATTTTCAATTCCTTAAATTGATTTTTCCATTTTCAATTTATTTCATTTTTAATTTAGTAATATGTTAATATTTTGAAGTTCACTCAGTGCCCGAAACACTCTCTCTCTCTCTCTCTCTCTCTCTCTCTCTCAACACTGTAGAGAGAGTGTGTGTGTGTGTGTCTCTGTGTTGGGAGCATTTAGTGATGTTGTTTTTATTATACCTCAGTGTTTGAGGTACATAGTAATACTAACAGATGACTTGGCATTATTATTAGATGATGATGGAGCGTGTGTAATGGGGTATCTTGGTTGTCTGTATGAAAAGAGAAGGAATCTTTATCGACAGCTGTACAATTATTGCGATGCAAAATTTCTCAATCACTTTAATATTGACTACGGGTATTTTTATGCTACACCCGATGAAGATTACTTCGAATGAATTTTTATAGTTGATCTACACACATAAATGTGGGTGTATAGGCATTTCTGGTGATATGAATGATAAAGATCTACAAAATATATTTCACATGCTGTGGCATAGTATAGACCTATCCACCCTTGACTTTGTGACGTGCACTCCGTGGATACTCAGAAGTCTGTTACATAAAAGTTCATATTCAGTGCTGGAAAAATCAAACATTCACTCCATGAATACCAAGAAGTTACATAATAGTTGAATTTATTCATAAAAATCATAAAATATCTGATTTATGTTTTAAAAAATTACCAAAATATCTTATCACAAAATGTTTTTTTGATATTATTTCCGAATAAAATATAATTTTTTTTGGCAGTAAACGAGCTATTTAAATTACGTTTTCCTCCAGAATAATTAGAAGGTTTTAAAATTCGACTGCCTCATTGCTTAAGGTTGTATAAGATGACAATTTTTACCGCGACAAAACTGCACATTAAAATTGGGGATTGCTAATTATGGTTCCATATTTACGAATACCGTTCAGAAAAATTCACTCTGTACCCTTCCTTTATCTCTCTAAAAAAAAAAAATCTCCGAAGCTATTATATCTTAAATCATTCCAAAACCTGCTTTGTTCAAGTGATTTACAAACAAAAATGAGTGCATTGGATGAGGATCGGGATACACATCACGAGGAGGTAAAAATTGTTTATTTTCGTTGTAAACATTTCAAAAATAGGGCTCAAGACCAAAACAACCCCTACAATCTACTTTCATGCCCAAATTGGACTCCCAAAAGTGAGATACACGCCCAATTTGGGCGCAGATCATGGTTATGGGCGCCCAAACTAGGCGCGGACAAACTCGGGTTTTTTTTTTTTCCTAATGAACTTTGTTTTGTTTAATTATTTTTAGGAAGAACAACTAAATTCATTTACATTTGAAGTTGATCATAGTGATTATTTTGTAGTAACGAATTTATTTTAACTCGAGAAATGAGTTGATAGATTGCGCGAGACTCGAGAGCGACCACTAAGAGACTTGGTGTAAAGTTGGTGAAAGAAAGTACTCCTAAGAATAATAGACTATATCTGACGTGTGATTTATTTGGGCCGAAGCAAATAACTGCAGCGAACATAGATGTGAAATGTACGACATGGCATGGTACAAAAAAACGTTATAGTGTTTTTCAGTTGGTGGGTGCTGAACATTACGGGGATAGATAAGAACTTAGAATATTGTATGGGAAGCATAACCATGATCCCTTATATTTGTGGGGACATGGGTCGACTAAAATATTACAGGAGGAGATGGTCATTAGTCATTACTCATATGTTGGCAAAAAATATGTGCCGTGAAAGAATATTTTAGCACACTTGAAAATCAGAACTTGGCCGATGATGTGCATTTGAAATAAATATACAATGAAAATGAAAAGCAGGCTAGGGGTGGGTTATACTTCTGCAGCGTTTGGTTGGGTTGCTTGAGAAACATAACTATTATAAGTGGATACGTATTGATCCAACTATGCATGAAGTTGTTGGTCTTATGTGAGCTCACCTTCATGCTGTCGAAATGTTGAGTTTGCTTCCGTACACTCTACTGTTCGACTACACGACTACACGTACAAAATAAATTAGTATAAAATGCCTTTGTTGGAGATTGTTGGTGTTTGCTCCGATAGTCTGAATTCCGTTGTTGCAGTGGCAACGAAGAACATTATACATGGGCACTGAATAATGTGGATTTTCGTCTCAAAAAGTAAACCGAGTGTAGTTGTGACCGGTAGAGGGTTGGAACTCATGAAGGCGATAGACATTGTGTTTCCGGATTCACATCATATACTATGTACATTGCATATCAATAAGAATGTGGATCGTTGTGATGCACAATGTTTGGGTAACAATAAGTTGCGAGGAATTGCATTTGTTTGTAGGGCTTGGCGAAGAGGTGAAACTTCACTATCTACGGAAGAGTTTGAAAGTACCATGCGGCGATGGTTGATGAGTATATAACTCATCCGGATCTACTTGAGTACCTTGGCTCATATATAAAGAGAAATTTGTTCGTGCATGGACAAATTTTATGTTCCACCTCGGCAATATGATACGCGTTTTCCTTATGTATAAATTACCGCAAGTGTACAATATCGCATTTTGTAGAGCAGTGGTTCCAGATATCAATCCACAGGGACCTATAGATTCACATGTTGAGTAATGTCATTATATTATCGTGCCGATTGTTTATGGTCGAAATAGAGATTAACCCTAATAATTAGCAACAAACAAAGTTGTGAACATGCAAATATAGAATAAACGTAAATGAAAAGGCGACAACTTTTAATGGGAGGGTTTCGATTTAAAAAGTACTTCTAGGGTAAAATCCACCAATGTTTGATAAAAAACGATCTACAAACCCATTATCTAATGTCAAATTCCTATTCGTTAACCCAGACACTAAAATACTCTAACCCCCGTCTCCAGTGTACTTAGAGTCTACCCACAGAACACATAAACGAAATCAAAACACGGCAAATAGATAACATAAATGGAAATCGAAATCAAATGAACTAAGAAAATATTCTTAGTTCATAACAAATATAGTATCAAAAGAATGTACACGAAAAATTAAGAACAAAACGTAAAGAAATTGCTTAAGAAAAACCCGAGTCAAAACCCGTGTCGAAGATTCCCGCGAAGAACTGTCGAAAACCGAAAAAAGTTGAAAAAGAAATGAGGATGAAAGGGCCTTCCTATTTATAGTTAATGCAAAGCTTCCTCAAGAAGCTTTGCATTAAGAAATATCTGCCCTCGAAAACTATGTCCAGATCGCGATACGGAGCTGCTGGATCACAATCTGGCGGCCTCAGGGAACTACCTACCGCCTTGCCAGATCACGACAGAGAAATGGAGTATCGCGATCTGGCCCTGAAACAAAACTGCATTTTGAGACCCCCCAAATCGCGATACGGGAAGTCTGAGTCGCGATCTGAGTCTAGAGCAGAAAACGCAATGTGACAACCCCCAGATCGGGATACAACAACGCTGGATCGCGATCTGGGTCTAGAGCTGAAAGCCAACTGTGATAACCCCCAAATCGCGATACGCAAAGGCTGTATCGCGATCTCGGTCTTCTTGGCCACTTAATTTGTCTTGACAAATCGGTTTCGCTTCCAAATTACTTTGAGTCGGCCAAAATAGCAAATCTTTACCTAAAAAATAAATAAAACAAGAAACGCATAATATATACAAATAAAGCCAAAAATTGGAAAATTTTGTAAGTAAAAATCGTGCAAAACGAACACTTATCACAATACCTCCACAAACATGTATTGTTAATTTTTTGTTCAATTAGGAATACGTAATTTAATTTTATTTGTGCATTGATTTACAAAATTGAAATTAGACTAACAAATATATTTCTCGAAGGTCGTATCATTTAAAAAAGTGAAGTAATTAATAAATTGATTTAATATTTGGATCTATTACAAATAAGTCCATCATATGCTACTCATTTATAAATGGGTCCACACAAAAAACTTTTTTTAAAAAAAATTCAGACAATGTCGAGAGGTGTGTAAAAGACTAAACTACCCTTCTCATTTTAATATGCTATAATTTCATCATTTAATTCAATTTAACCTCAAATTTCACCAATTATTCAATTTTGACCCCGAACCCAATTTTGACTACAATTTCGCCCGTCGGCGCTGTTGACCACTGGTTTGCGGCGTTGACATTTTGTTTTTCTGTTTTTTCGGCCGGTTTCCGGTGGCGTTGATTTTTTTTTCTTCTTAAACTTTTTTTTTGTCCGTTTAGACAGTAATATTTTTGTGGTTGGTAGTCATATTAACTACATTATTTGGTTACCAAAGTATTATTAACTATAACTGTTTAACACAGTAATATGATTATATTACTCTCTAGCACAGTAATATTAACACAACAAAAATCACTATTATTGTGTAATACAGTAATATTAATATGTTGACCGTTCAACAAAGGCAAACATAATGAAAAATCCAAAAGAATTAATATTAATGCGGTTGACTGTAATATTACTATCAAGCACAGTAATATTACTGTAACGACAGTAATATTACCATCAACCACAATAATATTATAATATTATTGTGTTTACAGTAATATTACAATAGTAGACAGTAATATTATTACGTTAATTGGTAAAGAAATCAAACAAAATAAAGAAAAAAAAATAAAAAAATATTGATGTGGTTGACATTAATATTATTGTTTTTACAGTTTTTTTACGTTCAACAATAGTAATATTATTACGTTGATTGGTTAATAAATCAAACAAAATAAAAATGGCAAAAAAAATAATAATATTGATGTGGTTGACAGTAATATTATTGTGTTTACAGTAATTGTACTGTCAGCGACAGTACAATTACTGTTAGGGCAGTATAATTACGGTCAATGTTCAGCGGCGGGCGTAAAAAAAAGGATAAAACAAATAAATTAAACTCCAGAAACCAGCGGCAAAAAAAAATCCAATAAAAGAAAAGTTAAAATAGGATTACAACTAGGAATTGAGTTAAAGGCTTGAAGATAGTCTCCTCTCTACCAACAATGTAGTCGGAGGTAATTTTGTTCAAATTTGGGGCTACCGAAGAAACGGCAACTAACTCCTTTTGGCGCTCAATTTCAAGAAACAAGAAGAAATTGCTCCCAAGATGATGAAGAATCTACGTCGAGGCACAACTAATTAATTCATATTAAGTTGATTTTAGCTTTTAATTTTTATCTTTGTTTTTTTATTTTTTATTCTTGCTTAATGATTAGCTGAAATGCTATTCATAGAACATTTTGTACTCGCTTGTAGGGTTATTTATTTCATTTGTAACTTTTCCAAAAAAAAACCCAAAATTCCCTTGCCATTTCGTGTCATAAGCCACGAAATGCAGTGAACCACTTCGTGTACAAATACACGAAATATATGTGTTTATCAATATAGAATACGGATGACGAAATTGGGGGATTTTATGAGTTCTTTAGTTTCGTAATGAAGAACACGAAATAGTAGCTTCAGTTTCGTAGTATTTTACATGAAATGAAAGCTCAAGATTCGTACAGTGCTGTAGGAAACCCCTAATTGCTATTTTTTTTTTTTTTTTTTTTTTTTTTTTTTTTTTTTTTATAAATTTAACCAACTTATGTGTTAACAGTCAAATAAATACAATAAATTCACATAAATATTTTTAAACTCAAGTACCCATACAAATTGAACTAAAATTCCAATACAAATTAAATACAAATTACAATAAAAGAACAATTTGAAGACTACCGACCAGATTTTAATTGTTCGTACAAGAGTAGTCGGGGTTTGAACATTTTGAGTAAGTGGCTCAAGTTTTTAGCTCTATGATATACCCATGCCGGATGGATAAGTGGTAGAGGACTATTCGCGACCAAATTAACAAGCATGAAATGATTGTTGTGCAATGTCACAACAATCATACATGATAAATCACCACTGCCAAACATAGGAAGGTAAATCATACTCCCCACTTGAGCCCCACTAATGCACTGTGTTTGGTAGCAATTCCCATCCCAATTCATTCATGACCATCCAATAAGCTTGTGCACAAGGGTCTGAGGGCCAGTGCCCAGTCACACTTGCGTATCACCTCAACGTATCCAGTACTGCCAAATATCGCCGTGTACACATCAACATGCTCTTATATATAACTCAATAAGCAACTCCCCTCTCACTTGCCACCATCTTTCTTGATCCCCGTACACGGCTTGAGCAATGCACTGGTACCCACAGTTGTCATCCACCATCACGTTGAAATAATCTTGAATAAGACGGACCATAAATCTAGACACGAAAGAATAGAAGTCGATTCCTTCATGTGGAGGTAGTGTAGGGGCAACAGATTCTTATGTGGAAATACGAGAACCTGAACCTTTCATCTTCGATTGAGGCATTCCATCAGTTCTTCTATCAATCTTTGTTTTAGAATATTTGCAGTAGTGGAGGATCAGCGACTTAATTGATGCAGTTCTGAAATGACGAACGTTTAATATCTTCCATTTTTTCACACAATTTTGCACGCGCAAGGGAGCCCATGAGTATTCCAAAAACAGTGTGTGCAAATACTCGGATCTTGCATCACCGGGGACTCCATCTCTTGATCCAATTTCTCCAACGCCAGATGCGTAACGTAACAAATCAAACCCTGAAAACACAGCCACGCTACAGTATGCTTCCTTATCTTGTATGATAATGAAAAATCCCACTTGAACTGACTAATTTGGATATAAATTTGTTCCCGAAGTTTGACTTGCACATTATCAACACCTCCGGTCAAAGCATTTAACCAACCCTTTGCAGAAGAATGAGCACTTTTCACCTTGTCCGATTACAACGACAATCAAATTATAATATAAATATTATTTTTATATAATATATTTCATAATTTAAATAACTAAAACATGTAATATCTGTTGGTGCTCGTATTGCCAAATGATACACATTGCAGGTATAGGCTCGGACAAACTTTTCCTTGTATATCAACCACGTACCACTCAAATATTGTATCTGTCTAGGGTATCCTGCATACCGTCCAACAATTTCATTGTAATTATAATGATACTCTTCTTCGATTTCTAATTTCACCGGCTTAGCCCACAACCCACGTCGAAATATTAACCTTGGTCTTTGTTGCCTTCCATAAATTTCGTTGCATTTGCCTCAACATTTCTGTTTATTATGATACAAAACTGGAAAGACAATTGGCAGTGCTTTCAAGAGACCTAACTCCCTGTCCGTCAGGTTTGCATCATGTTCGACACCATCTAACAACTCTCCCAAACAAATCGAAGTCCAGTCGTAGGTGTCTGCATCTTCATGCGACATAAATGCAACAGCAATCGTGAAATTATTCCCAGCTGGAGTAATCCCAATAATTTCCAAAAGAGGCATTCCATACATACATCAATGTTTTTTTACATATTTAAAAAATACATTATAAAATCGTAAAAGCTTACTTACTTATTGGTTTTGTATGTGCAGTCCATCAACATAACATACGGAAATAGCCGTAGTAACTTAATCGATTCGGGACATGCAAACATAACATCCGTTATTGTCTTGCTCGTTTCACTATCGACGCGATGCCAGTATCGATACTCACCTTGTTGAAAGTTATGCATCAGAAACTGAATAACAGTCATCCCCTCAATTTCCTCTGATTTAATCTTGGTCAATCTATTGTAAACATGCTTCATGGAGGTTTGTATCGTGGGATCATCCTCCCTCCTCAATCTATCCATGATTGACATTGGCTTCACGTGAGAATTTCTCAATTATTTAATTCTTGCTTTTTGTTGTGGAGTTATATGACTAGTCGTATCATGTCCGTGAGGAAACAAAGCCGGAGGATGAGTATGCTTGCCATCGATGATAGTCAACGGCCATAATTCATCAAACCTTGACCTTTTACCAATCAATTTGAACGGACAACTAGATTTCTTTGTTGCAGTGTTTCTAGCATCTTCCACATTGATATTTGTTTGTCGGCCATGTCCGTATTTTTCACGCGCCAAATACCGTGTATTCCTCCTTCTAGACTGACAAATCAAACGGTGAGAATGACTAACCGCAGTTGTTTTGACCCACTTGATTAATTCTTCCCTACTATCGAACACAATATCAACTTGGAAGAAGTGAAAGAAATCTTCATATTTGTTTCGCTCCAAAACTGCGGGATCAAAATACAAATTGTCTCCATATTGCTGCTTAAAGAAAGACTATTAGTTAGATACTTGCAAAAAAAAGGGGAAAAAAAAGGGGAAATACTAGGGATTTCGTGTACAAGTACACGGAATAATTTTCTAGATTTTGTGTACAAATGCACGAAACAAACAATAAGAGAGTTTATCCTTTATTTCGTGCATAAAAACACGAAATATGATTTAATATTCGTAGTGTACTACACGAAATTATTGATAAAACAGAATATGATGTTAATTTCGTTAAGGAAATCACGAAACTCAATGCATAATTTCGTGATATCTTACACGAAACGCATAAAAATCGACGATTATCAGACCAAAACGTAATTTTTACCTCATTATCGCGATCGATGTTGGCCATATTGATAATTGTTGTGTTCTAATTGATTGTGGCGAAAAAAATCACGATCTACAAAGTTCGATTTATTTGGAGGTAGAAAGAATTTGGAAAAAGTTAAAAGGTTTCTCTACAAATGAATTATTTTGCACTGTAACTAGAAAAAAGTGCACCGATAATAGCAAACCCATGCTTAAAGATAAAATTGCTTTTGTTTTTGTTTTTGATTAAGTAGCCGTAGTAATAATAAAGCAATATAATCCGTATCAATAACTGTGAACAATAATATAGTTCACATTAGTATTCAAATTTCAAGTGCCGATATTCTGACGAGGGAGATCAATCATAACACAGGAGAAACATGAATAAATACTTCAACCATAAAAAAATGACGACAATGAATGATAAAACACATGTATTAACCCAGTTGGAGTCAGTTGAGAAGAGAACAAAATTTCAATACTTGAATAATCCAAAAGCTGGATAACATATTTTTGTTGATTTTTTAACAAAAAAATGCTGCACATATTCTCTCTAGTAAAATAACACATTGATCGATCGACCAATTCGCACTTCATTTGCAGCCTTGTGAACACATAATTCTTCCAACTATTCCAATAAAATCTGGAGTGAGGTGAGGAGAACTCAGAAAAGGCTATATGAGAAAGAAGGGTATTTATGTAATATTAAACTAGTTCAGGATTGCCAGAAAACATTAGGGTCACTGCTGTATAGAGTTTTGTCCTGAATTTCGAGGTTAGCGACATGGCAATCGATCAGCCGAGCTTGGACAATTTTACAAAGGATAAGTCCACATGGCAGCATCCACCAACCACTTTCATCCCTGCATCAATTTTTAAAAAGGATTAGTGGCTAATGACAACACAAATTCATTTAGGGTGCATTTGGATGGAGGGATTTGGGGGAGGGATTTCAAATCCATAATAACAAATCCCTCGGACTTGTTTGGATTGAGGGATTTGGAGATGGATTTCAAATCCCCACCCCTCCTTTTTAGTTGATTTTTGAGCAATAGTGATGGATTTCAAATGACTCCAAAATTGGAGTCATTTCAAATCCATTCTCCAAATCAAATCCCTCCCCAAATCCCTCCATCCAAATGGACCCTTATATTATAAAAGAAAAGAAAAGAAAATAAAAAAATTGCTTCTTCTTACATGCTAAAATTCCATGTTTGATAATGTTGGTGTTTTTTACTTGACGAGGATTGAGTCTTGAAATGAACTAGTCCACATATGAAGGCGACAACCTGTTAAAATACAATTCACATAGTAAGTAAAACGTCAACGTTTTTTGTGTAACGAGTTGAGCATTATTGACATCTATGCTCTAGCTTTAGTATATTTGTATCTATCTTTAGTGTGTCGAATACTCTTCTTTTGTACAGTTAGTCCCCTCTATATATAAAAGTGGGCTCATTTAATTTCATATGATTTTGATTCTTTAACAATGTCTAGTGACAGCAATAAACGAAGAAGTTTAATGAAAGTAGAAACAATGTAACTGGAGAACCAAGGAGCATGCATGCGTGCACAATTAATACTTACAACATTAATGACGGAGGTAATATTCCACAAAGCATATATACGTGCAAGTCCGGCTGATCGCCTCGGTCCATGAGTAAATAAAGCATTGATGCCAGCTGGAAATGGAAGAACTGTGCCAAGTGGAGGAATCGACAAAACCAAAAAGACATCCAGCATGGATATGGAATAAAGCTGGAGCAGAAGTAGCAAAACTAAGCTAAAATCTCCTAAAAGAAGTATCGAGATTATCAAACCAACAAGATCCTGCAAGTCCCGAAAAGGAAATACATACAAATAAGTCATCAGTGTTCAAGTATAAGTAGTAATATATATGTTATAGACAAAAAATCGACAGATTTATTGTAGTTGACTAGAGCATAATTTACCTGGTGGCAAACTGGCCTTATATTATGAATTATATAGTAGGAAGGATAAAATAATGTCAATCTCTCTCCGAGGTTTTGTAGGCTATTGGCATTTAAAATTTCTCCGGATATCCTTTTTTGCAACATAACATGCTCACTCACTCTAACAAGATCCAACGCTTTCTTCCAGCGATTAGCAGGCAAACTGCAAGTGAGAGAAATGAAACAAACTTGTCATCAAAATTCAATCTGAAGAAGATTACAAGGAACACTTGAAAAGTGCTTTTTTCTTTTTACCGTGACTGCTTCTCAAGCAATAAAGCAGATCGGTCCCGCCCTTGACTAGATGAATGGGTATTTGCATCCTCTACGGCACTTACAACAAGGCCAAATTGGCAATATCCACTGGCTGAAGGTTGAAAGCAAGTCAAATCAACACGTACACCATGAGCATGTAATTTTCTATTTGCATGTGTCTCGAGCCAGCGGATAACTGGATGAAAAGTTGCTCTTAAATGTCCGCGACGCACTAAACGAAGTTGAGCATTAAGACCAGCCACTAGTCTGTACCAAATTGTTGGGGGAACAGACTGCAATAAAGGAACAGCGAAATAGAACTGAGGATCTCAACGAAGCAGAGTGCATAACTAACATATATTATGATTTTAGCTTCTGTTACGACAAACCTGACTCATTAGGTTAGTTAGAATATTGTCAGTGTGAAGAGAAAAGGGAACCATGTAAGATCCTTCTCCTCCGAACACTAAAGACAAAGGAAACCTTTGGTGAAGGCGAGGAGGGAGGTCATCCCTCTTTTCATCCCCCCCAAGGAAAAAATCAACATAACCTAGCATTAAATCAGAACTTGCAGCAACCTGCAGGATAAGCAGAATAATAACTAGAGTAAATAAACTATATCAATATCATTTTGAGATAAGATCAAATTTCAATGTCCAATTCAAGATCAAGCTGTGAAGCTCTTGAATTAGAATTATCAAGTTGAGAATTAATTGTTCAAGAGGGAGAACATCAATTTATTCCAAGTGGGTATTTTAATAGAAGAGAAGAACTACAGCATTCAATAAGAGACTGTACTCGAGTTCCATCAAATCATTAACACGGATTTCAAACTATGTAAGGACACGAGATTTATGCATCCGCCCTTTTCTTGTGAAGACTCTACTATATCCTTTTTATAGTTTTGTTACATATGCAAACACTTCAATTCTAATTTGGTGTATAGGAAAATAAGAGGTATCTAAGTTTCAAAACTCTGACCTTTACTAATGAAGTCAGTATGATGTTTAACCAAATTGCTGTCTTCTTGCATTGAACATGTCGATCGAACATCATAATTTGTAGATTTCAAAAAAAGTATGCAAGAAAAAGGTTTAATGATGTCATGAATAATAGTATCATTTAATTGAGAAACAACAAGTGCTAATAGCCAACACTAAAAGGTAACAACCCTTTTGCTTTAAAAATAGGAACACGTTGGGGGTCTCAGACTCGGAGTTTTTGTGCCAAAAGATATATAGTCCAACCATTGCTGGTTCAGGCTATTATAAAAATGAAATGGACAAAATAGGTATGAACTCTAACTATTGCGGAATTATGCTATGAGGTTCTCCACGTTTCCAAATAAGCAAGCCTGCCTAGCTATATATATGCAGGGCTAACTCTTCGAAGGAAAACTAGAACAGCATACCTTGAGGCCTTCATAGAGAGCTCGTGAACGGCAAGAGCGCAAGCAAGCATGATCATATTCTGAACGGACATATTCCCTAAGGTGCTGCACTTTCTCCTTGCGACGCCACTGCAGCCACGACCATGCAAGTGGATATGCAGTAGCACAGAGGATCCCATATACTGATCCTTCCCACCACTGATAAGAAGCTAACGCATTTATCTCATCCACGAATATGTTGAATGCATCTTCATATCTACCAACAAAACAAGGTGCATTAATGTTTCTAATATATGCACAGGGGCAGGTCAATCATTTGAGGGTTCAGTCAATGGATCTATAAGTTAACACGGATAAATGACGATGTAACAATTCAGACATAAAGATCATACACTATTTCTTTCACTTCTTTAGGAGGGGAATGAGGGAGATGCCAGGGTTCACTAAAAGTATTAGCTCCCAGAAAGTACATGCGATGTACGTGGGTTTCGGATTCCTCAAATCTGCTAGTTTCCAAAACCTAAGCCAAAAAAGGAACAACGAAAGAACATAAGCCAAAAATCTTCGAATTTTGACTATCAACAAAAGATTCTTCCAACCTCATTTAGGGACTCTAGAAAAGGGAACGAGCGATCATTTGGGGAGCCACGCCGATTGGGCACTAGACCTGGCAATTCATCTCCACCAGCAAATTTCATTCTAGCAACGCTCAGAACAAGCGCTAAGAGGACGAGCAAGCACACCAATATGAAACCAAATAACCATGGTCCTCCAAAAGTGTAAATTAGTTCTTCAAGGGCAGTATAACAATGAGGCATATGATATCTCTCAGATATACACTTGTATGGACATGGTGCTTCCGTGACGCCACCTGTAAAATAAATGATCATTAAGTATAAGAAAAGTCCCTCAGAAAAAGTAAAGGGTATAGTCGTCTCATTAAAGGATTCAAAGATATGTACTATTGAAAGTTTATAGTAGGTAGGTGGCAAAATGTAATAAAACTTAAAAGTACCTCGTACAGCGATATATATAGCACGACGGGGAAGCTCATGAGATGGACAGTCATTACATAGGTCTCTATTAGATCCAGTCACATTCTTATATGTGCCAAGTGGGCATTCCTGCATATTACACATTTATTAGGAATATATAATCAAAGTCCAAGTTGGTGCATAAGCTGTCAGAAATATTATGAAGGTCTTTCAACTCTAAAGCCTCATCACAGCAAAAAAAGAAAAAAAGAAAGTTCTAGTCTCTATACAGAAGCGTGCACAATTACCTGACAAAATATACCATATAGCCCTTTTGGACATGCTTTTCCGCTCAAAGTTCCATTTTCACCTCCTCGGCCCAGACCTCTACCAATTCCTCCTCTGCAGTTACATTATCAGGAGCAAAATGCGAGGAGTTAAACGACATGAAAAAATGTACTGTACATGTGAATTCATTCAGAACAGTAATGTTGAAGTAATTTAAAAAAGAATCTCATATTGCGGCTAACGATAAGATCTACAAACCAAACACCTCTTCGAGAAAGGAAAAAGGAAACGTAATTAAGTAACTAGAAAACTGGGTGAAATACATAATACGAAGTTTAACATCCAATGGCCCTGGCAGAAATGCGAAGCAGAATTTTTTTATTCTATTCGAGTCCAGTTGTCAATTATTTAGTCGCATACAATATCCCGAAGGAAGTTCCTCAACGGAAGTGCATCATATATGTATTGCTCAAGAAATTAAAACCACTCCGATACACAATCAAGAATAGCAAAATGAATTTCCTGACTAATATGCCCTATTATCATTACGATTTACGTACAGATGTTACGCTCCAATAAACGAGACTTTAAAGCCATTTGTCCACTAACAACTGATTGCGGGCTTATTTAAAGCACAATACATTAGAGGAATATTTGTGGATATCTCCATCAACTCACTTGAAATTCATTCCCTCTTACAGGCCAAAGGCAGAAAATTGTCATCAGTGGTTTTGATAAACTTTGCTGTGATTTTTCAATTGTATATTTGTATTCGATTACATTATTGATTAGAGCATGCAAGGGCTACTTAAAATGACCCAATGAGTTTCAACACAATCAAAGACTCAAATTTCTACAAAAAAAAAAAAACAAATATAGTAATATTATTATGACCAAATTTAGTGGTGTATATATTCAAACAAACCTGACACCAATAGTTCCTCTGACAATGGCCATTGGCAAGTATTCATCTCCAATAGGAATGTCCGACCAATGGAAATGAATCCTTCCACCACCTCCCCCGCCACCATTAGGGCTTCCATGCCCTCCAAATGTAGAGATGGTAGCACTATCATCAAGGACAACGCTGTGGACAAAAAGAAGAATAGTTCCTCCTGATCCACCACCCGGACTTGCATCTGACACAACCACACCATCCTTCCCTCCAACATATTTCCCGTAACTTTCTCCATTGGCTTTAATTTCACCGTGTACAACCAAATTTGACAATGAGTGCTCCAGTGAACCAATCACTGTTCGAGGAAACAATTTGAATGGGTTAGCAAGAAAATTGACAGAAGCTGGTGGATTAAATTATTGAAAAGCCTTAACAAAATGAAACCAGACAAAAAAAGAGTTGGTAACTGTCCAATTTTACAGATAAGTCAATCTTGCATTATAATTTTAAATGTCAGACAATAGGATGGAAGTATCCCTAATAAGTCAATGACAGACGTGATTGCTTGTGATCAAGGTACCAAGTGAATATATAGACGAATAAAAAAGAGTCTGAAATAAGTTCTTGGAAATGACCCTCGAGTATAAAATCATACTTAGCAAAACAAAAATGTGAAGACAACAGCTACATCCTAAGAATAAAGAGTTCACTAAATTCTTGAAAATGAACCTCATGTATTAAATTGTGATCCAGCAAAAACGAAAAATGAGAAGACTGCTACTTCCTTATTAAGATGAAGGGTTTCAGCCAAAATTTCCCAAGTCAGATATGATGTCTACAATAGGAAATGTTGCATCCATAATGGAACATGAATAAAGCCTAAATATATAAAATATTTTCAGTACTTCGGAATTCATAGCAGTAATTGGAAACGGACTATGAACAAAAACATAATTGCTTCACACATTTGTTATGTCAATAAACGGACTCACCAATAACACCACCACCAGCAGTTGCACTAGGCAGACTCTCGTTTCCACTTCCACTACCAAGTTCACAAGGCAACTCAGCATTCCCATATGAAATACCACCCTTTATATAAGCTCCCTCATAATACGCATCCCCTCCTTTACCACCATGTCCCGCACCACTACTAAGACCATTAGGCAGAAGTTCTCCATGACCTAATCCACCAGTGCAGCCTACAAATTGGGGAGAAAAATTTGCAGGATAACAAATTAAATAGAATTAAAAAAGTTACTGAAATTCGGGGCTTTCATTTCACCGTTGTGAACAGCCTCATCTATTCTCCAGCGATGAAAGAAATATCATCAAGTGGGGTAAAATTACATACCCAATCCAGAAGCACTTATTGCACCAGAAGATTTCACAAACACATTTCTGACCAGATGAAAATGAACAACAGAACCTTCTACCAGACCTTCAACAATAATGTCCTCAACTCGACATATCTGCACAACAAAAAGACGTTTAACCCTCAAATGCAGGAGCACGTCTGGTAAAGGAGTCATAAACAACACACTGCTATGACCAATCAACAACTTCTAACCAAAGAAACTCCTCAGAGTGTTGAATCTGAGTTTTGGAACACCTGCAGAGTAAAGGACAATGAAGCATTCACGTTGCAGTCCTCGGGTGGGTAAAGTAGTTCAACAGGGCAACTATTCTGTTCACAGAGAAGTCTTGGTGCCCTACCACATTTAGAACAGTAAATATTAAAAAAATGTGAAGCGTGAGGACAAATTGATATGGTGTACTATATTTCGAGCACTTACTTGCCATTATTGCTCACATTTTCCAAGGGACCTCGAATAATAGATCCAGGACCAACCTTCAGATAAAAAGCAGGCACAGTGTTAGCAGAAAATATTTATAACTAGAGGTTATTGAATTGCAGAACTATTACATGTTATTCCAAAAATATTCAATAATCTACCGATACTATACACAGAAAAAGTTAAATTAAATAATTTTCATAATTTGATTTTTAAATTAGAAAATGAATATTTTCTTTTGTCAGGTACTTCACAAAGAATGTAATAATTTTATATGGTCAATAGTTCATCTTGGATGCCTCCTCATCTAAAAAATAGCAATTAGAGAGAAAATGATACAAAAATTATTACACAGCAGATATGATGTTATCATGAAAGATTTATACAGATGTTTCTTCAATAGCTGGACCATAGATTGGATGAGGCCGAACAAAAGAACCAAATCCCAGCACAAGAAAGTTTAATGTCAAAAGAGTATGGCATATGTTTGGACGAACAACTTGTATTCTGCCAACAGTTTCACACAATCAACACTCTTTTCATATTCAAACTAAAATGTGAATGTTCTAGCCACCCTCAAGTACATAAGAAGGGTAGAATATCATGGAAGTTATTATAGTGAAATGCCCAAGTAAGCTTTTCAATTATTTCGTTATAAAGATAGGCTGACATATTTTAAGAAACCCTATCGTCAGAAAGACCAGTTGAAGCACAATCATTTGGTCCTTTAAGAGAAAAGCAAGAGTTAAAGTTCTGAGGAGCTTTACACTGATAGCATAAAATAACGACAAAACCAAATGCTGAGCTTCAATAATGTCTCCTGGCCCTGACAAGTTCAATGATCCTTGTCCATGAAGCCCTAAATTCGCAGTTGAATGTATCATGGATGATCCCTGGATACAAATTAATAGATCAGTCATAGAAAAATGATCAAGCTTCTGAATGAAGATAGCTGATTTGGAATAACTTACCTTGAGAACTACTAAATTGCTCGCTTCAAGCAAAGAAGTTGCAACAATTGGATCACTATCACCAGCTATGAGCACTTTCGAATTCAACATCAAGTGAATTTTCACAGACATTCGCAATGCCCCATATACCTACACATAATTCCATTTGATGTATCATGTGACTGAACTGGAAAGCAATAATACTGCAAGTACAAGTAATATGTCCATTGCATGAGTTGATGCAAAATGTTCTGTAAAACTAATGTCCGGCACTGCACCTTACCTGCTTTGAGGTATTAGCACATGCTGTTCAAGAGAAATTAAATGAGATAAAAGACAACTCATTTTGGTTTGTGGGCTCAGATGCTAATGGTTGAGTGAAGATCACACAACATTTGAAGTACAATCTTTAATCTCGGTTTACATGTAAAATGACATATACTGTTGGTTGGCAAAGGCCCATAATTTCCAGATACACGAGAACATAAGCTGAAAGGGGAAGCAATCTAAGAAAATATATTAAGCTAATAACATCCAGCCCAAAAGAAAAAGAAACAGAAATCCAATAAAGTAACCAAAAAGAAAAAAACACGAAGAGAATAAATGAATAAGACAAAAAAGACAAAAAAAGGCAAGATGGGCACAGAATATAAAATTCTTAGTAAGAGAAACTAAAATCCATAAAATGTAAATAGTACCATATTGAGCGTATAAAATGATTGGCAAAACTTACTTTTATTACTGAGTCACTCATCAGAAGTTCTTCAGCCATCAGTTCAAACTCAGACAAAGCATAATGAACGAGTCCAAAACTCAAAACTGCTCCACATGATAAACTGAGTTGTCCTCTAACCTATTCATTAATAAATAATGCAGTTAAGTTAAGCAATAATCTGTATGGATATGGATGACCAGATATGATAACTTAAATAGAACATCACAAAAAAACAAAAAAATAATATTGCTGTACGGTATGTTAAAAGCACATATAAGTAATAATTCAAAACAATTATGTAAAACATAGAAGTAACATGACAAACTATCTTATGGCTGCCATAAATTGCAAAAGAATTGTCTAATATACACTTGAAATGTTCAGAAATCGAGCTTTCAAAATCTTTAGAGTGTTCCTAAAGTACCGAAGGACACATGGACTAAGAATATAAATAAATAATGAAATCAACGAGAAGAAACAATGAAAAAAGGTATTATGTCTTCAGCGGAAAACAAAATTATCTTAAACCAAATGACTCAAGGATTGAAGTCATATTTCAGGATAAAACATGGTATTTGCATGTTAAATTTGTGATTCAAGCAAATGACATGTTAGTAACAATGAGTTTATTTATGATTAATGTTCTCATGTTACAAAGGAAATGTTTCCTCTCTGAAGTAAGGAACTATACTTGCTCCAAAGTGACAAGGTAGTTGGAAATCTAATACATCATAGAATCATGAAATCACATTTACAATGCCTACATCTTCTTCTATACTCCAGCACTCCTAATTAATTCATGACCTCCTTGCTTTCTTCTACTTAGGTAAGCACATTTCTAAATCATTCTCTCTTTGGCTTTTGAAAGTATTAAAAAAATCAAAAGCAAAGACTGATGCCTGGAACTCAGTTTTTATGTCTCATTGTAGACCTTCACTCGTTGGAACAACAGTTACAGTCATAAAATATCATTATAATGAAACATTTAAACCAAAAAAAAAATATAAAGAAAGAAATGTTGGGGACTAAGATTATTTACTTAATGACCTGAACACGACTCCATAATAAAGGAACAGTAGCTTGAGCACAATTCTGAATGTAAACGTTTGTCCAGAGTGGCTGGTTTGGAAACTGTAACAGAAGCGTCTCGGTATCTGTTGACATATTGTTATTGTTGATGACAAGTCTACGAGGAACAGCATCGAAGAATGTTCCAGCAGCACCTGCATTCATGGGACAGCCAAAACTTCTTCCACCTGGCAAAATTTGGACCATAATTTAGCCACCACGAGGATAAATACTCGAGTATGTGTATTTCAATATTCAAATCTGCTATGCTAAAAGAGAAACGGCCTATTGCTAAGGAAATTTTTCTCATGGTTTGCTAAAGACATAGAGGATCATCAATAGGGATACTGACGTAAAGAAAATGAGCATACGTTCCAAAAGGGCATATGTGATATGAAACAAATACTAGTTAACAAATTATTACCAAATAATGATTATATCTAGTTCTAGAAGACACTTAAGCACAATTAATAGACTTCACTTAACCATTGGCCACTTGAGCACCTCAAGTACATTATAAGGAGGCACAGGTAAATACACGCGTTCCACTGATAGCTTGAAGGAAAATGTCCAGCAGATCGGAAGGCCTTAATTGTCTTATCATAAAGCTTATAACATTAAAGAACAATTAGACAATCCATGTTAAACTTCCCAATTAAATCACACGCAAGGTAAATCACAAAGAGTCAAAGTCTATGCCCGACTAGAGTAACTGCTATTCTACAAAGCAAAGATAGTTGCTTAAAAATAATACGCCAGTACTACAGCCGCCACAGTTTTGCAATTAGATTCAATACAGTTACAGAATAGACAAGTACATAAGAGCAGAACTAAGGATACTAAGATGAAAGTTGGCATAACGTAGTTGATACATCATTATAGTCACTGTACAGGGTTAGCTCCTAACTTCCTTTTTTGGTAGTTATTTTCTGAACATAGTATGTATGATGACCACGAGTACCTTCCTTATAGTTTCAAGATTACCACTGTGAAAAGCAACTACCATATATATCAAGGCTATACTAGGTCATCCACAGATAACATAAATATTATTCTCGTCGATACTAAACTCAAGTTATGAATAATAAAAAACAAGTACAAACTTTGCTTTCTCTAACAAGTCTCACCATGTACCAAGAATATGGGATCATCATGCCTGCTAAAAACATTGACAGATACTCTTCCACCACCTCCTCCAGCAAATCCATTACCTCCCGACGCACATATTTTGCCACTTCCTGTCCTGCTCGTCACACAAGAATTCAGTCACGATATGTTTTAGATGGAAAACAAAAAGTGAAAGGATGATTCATGACCAACTATCTGATCAAGAAAGTAAAAGATAAAGCTGCATGTCAGATATGACAAAGGTCATGTTACAGCAGTTGGCTAACTCAACATATCCAAGTTTGGTGAACAAAACTGATTTTTTTCTGAAAATAGAACTTCATACAAAAACTAAGAAATCAAAGATAAATTTCTAGGTATGTATAAAAAAACTTCCCATCAGGTTTGGTCTAAATAAAGATAGATTGTCAAACAACAGTTTGATGAAAACCAGTTTTACCCTCAGCATTCTTTTATTTATTATTTATCCGCTTCTTCTTTTTCTTGGGAGAAGTTTTGAACTTATCAAAATATGAATAGACCTCCGCTGAAAGATGACTGAATAGGTGAGCAATCAGCCAGCCGTTTAATGAAGAGGTGAAAAGGCTCAACAGCACAGGAAACTCACAAAAGAAGAGATTGAAAGTTAAGGAATTTGCTAGTGACTGATGGGAAACCTTCAGGTATATTCTCATTTGCACATTTGGGTGATTTTCCTGTTGCCACTGGATTAAAATCTGTCTTGGACTAAGGTGGTGCAGAAAATATGACTCACTCATCATAAAATTTGGCACTTACAACCCTGGTTCAAGTAATAGAAATATTACTATCCCTGATAGCTCACTGAACTCTCATTTACCAGAAATTTTGAAATTTATCTCTAACTTAGGCCCAAGTCTTCCTATTGCCATTAAGAATAACAATAGGGGATGACGGGATGTACGAGAACCCTGTGCCGAGTTCCTCATGTTATATCATTTTGAAACATTCCATCCACGCTCATAACTTTTGTTTCAAGTATGAACAGTATACATAATTCCACAAAGATTTTATCCGATACCTGATCAATAAAAATATATGATCCAAATCACCATATAAGGCATTCTTCACCTCTATCTACTGATAAATAGGCATTAACTAATTTATAGAGAAGGAATACAACAACAGTTGGAGTTGGACAAGCTAAAAGATTTTGAGGAGGTGAACACAGCAATTATCAGGCCTTATATCCATCAATTATCCACATTGGCAGATAAACCTTCTACATGGTCTTAGAAGTAAAGATAATGTTAAACTCTCACTTTCCGATGTGATATTCCAATGGTTGGAGTATACGTAAAGAACATATGGCATATTTATACCTGAAGAAACTGAAGAAAAACGAGACTAATTACATAAATCAAAACTACTTAACAAGAGTCCACATCGAAAAGGAGATAATGGAAAATCAAATATGGAATTTCTAACACTTGCCAAACTTCAAAACAAAGTTGTAATGTCCTTCACGTGAATAAATTAAATCCGTGATTTTCAGTACATGCATGCATGACTTCTGATTGGTTAATTTATCTTCTAATTCGTAGACACTGAGGAACAGTGTGGATATGTATTTATTACAATCACTTAGCTGGCTATATGATTGAATGCAATCATAAATAGACATGTTTTAAAGTCGTTGAATTGTTTAAACACTAAGCAAGACTGTGCAACGGTTCCCCTGATTTTCAAGAGTTTTGCTTTTGTTCAAGTGTTCAGATCTATCGCCCTCTTCTCAAGGTATAAAATGCTACCTTTTATGTGTGAACTTGAGCACCAATGAAGTAACCGAATTCATCTAACCTCAGAATTAAGCAATATACAAGCTATTATACAAGTTAGTATTTTTGAAATCTATGTATTTCATATCCTTACTCTCCAAGGCAGAGATGGCTTATCCAACGGTGTAGTATATAATGAAACTTAGTTAATTCAAATCAACTTTCCATTTAGTGGAGGATTCTTTAAGCTCTTTCGGGGTTATCAGTGCATCTGTAACCCATTACAGCATACAATATAGTCTTGCGAATGTCTCTCTATTAACAACTTTAGTTGATTCAAGTAGCATTCTAAACAATATAGTACCTTCAACTATCTCTATCCTCTATGTTCATACGCTCTAGCATACTTATACTAGTAATCTCTTCTAGGACCGTTGTGAGCAGTAATTCTAAAAAGGAAATATAAAATCATTTAATGCAAAAAGGTTGAGGATAGTAAGTAGAGACAACTCTAGTCTCACGTCTCATGTTAAAGATGTAGGATTGGAAATGTTTTTGGCATTAATTCATGTGGCTTGAGAAGATTTTCTACGGTACAGTAATTAAACAGAGACCATATTTGCACCTAGATTTAAGCAAGGGACAGTTGCATAAATCTGTCGTCATTAACTAGGTTAATCTTACGGGTACGCTCTCTTCCCAAAATTTAATGCTGAAGTTCAAAAAGCCGGAATAAATGCTGATCGTAAACAATGCAGTTCCCACGGAAGTATTCAAACAATCGAATCCGAGCAGATTTCACAAATTCAACAACTTAAAATCATTTAAAAACACAAGACATGGAAAGAAAAAATAAAAGGTTGAACTGATGTACATTACATTATGTGCGACTTGATAAAAATGCTGCCACCGGAACCTCCGCCACCTTTGATCCCGCCATCACCTCCACCAGCCAAGAGCATTCCGGAAACATCCGCAGTATCGTTCACCTGCAACCAAATCCTGCCGCCCCCTCTCCCTCCATAATCTTCCTCTTTATTAGTAGTCCCTCCTTTACTTCCATAACTCCATGGCGCATCCAAAGAATCCCATGAATAAGTGTCTCCACCCCACACATCTTCCGGCAGCTTCTTATTATCCACCACACAGCTTGCGCCTCTTCCACCGTGGCCCCCACCACCGCCCTGCCCATCGTCCGGCGTCCCCGTGGATGGGTCCGGCGGCTCACCAGCTCTCGCCGTCACATTAATCACTGAACCGCCAGATAAACTTGCATTTCCGGCTACTATGTAAACTGAACCGGCGGTGATTTCCGAAAAGGAGTTCAATCTGAAATCGCCGGTTACGTTAATCTCGATTGTGCAGCCCAATTTGGGGCAGGTTAAAGCCACCCCTTGGAGGATGAAGAAGTTGCCCCTGCCTTCGATGTAAACGTCGTCGGTGAAATTCAGGCTGTAGCTGAGCTGGCAGGTGGTGTTGAGTGAGCCGATGCCCTTCAAATCGTCGCACGAGAGGGGAGGGTTGTGCGGCGGCGGAGACGGCGGAGGGGGCGACGGCGGCGCGTAATCGCCGCGGAAAAGCTTCGACGTGTAGTCGTAGTCCAGGATTGAGAAATCGTCGCCGGAGGCAAATGACGACCGTTGATTTGGGAGGAGGAAGAAGAGGAAGAAGAAGGAGAAATAACAGTAATCGATGAAAGGGGAAAGTAGGGTGGCCATGAAAAGTTCATCAGAGAATTGAAAGTTTGCAGAGTTTTGGGGGAAATAAAAAAAAAATTGTGAATTAATTTACTGAAACAGGTGTGAATGTGATGGATTGTTTGTATGTATATATGAATTATGGATATGGATGTATATTGAATTGAATTGAATGCGTGTGAGTTTGCATGTACGTATAGGTGGAGAGAGAGAGTAGAGAGAGAAGAGGCGAAAGATGAACAGGTGTAGAGAGAGAATGCGAGGAGTTCGGGAATTGCCTCCGGTTTTCATTTTCATCCAAGAATGTTCGTTTCTCTACAATTTATTTCTTTAATTTGTCACCCAAATTTAAGAAATTACAAAAATCATCTTCGAATTATTCGATGCTGCTAAATGCAAAACCTATATTATAAATGCAAGATGGTACTGAATTTGACCATGAGCATATTGGGAATTTTTTATCACATGTAATTTAATTACCAATAAAGGAAATGTTCTTTTTTTCTCGATAAAAGTCCATCGTTCTCCTCCATTTTACATAAAAAAAAAAGAAATATGCGTATAATTAATTTGATAAAAGTCTATTGGATTTGTGCGAGCGCGTTTGTGAAAGTGTGGGCACGTTTTATGAACTATGAGATGAGAACCCTGGTCCTATTGAAGTTCATTGCAAAATTTTCGAAGGTTGTTGTCAATTTATAAAAGTTCCTTCTCAATTTTCATCCAACTTTCACAAGTCCACTGTTGGAGTGAAAATCGAACGGAATAGATTAAAAATGACTTTTTCGAGAGGAACAAAAAAATCGAAAGTTAAAATGGGTTTCAATTAATGTTCCGAAAAAATCGGAATTCCAAAATCCATTCCGATTTCGGAATGCCTCATAATCGCCGGCATTTTAGAAACTGCATTAATTTTTCATATCATGCTCCAAATTCGGATATGATGTAATTTTCACAAATTGTTTTTCTCTTTTTTGGAATTTTCCAATACAATGTTAGAATATCTAAAAGAGAATTCGACAAAATACAATAAATAAAACCACAAGTACAATAAAATGCAACAAAGAGTTTATGATAAAATAAAAAATGCAACACATAATTTATGATACCAATTAATATTTTCTAGGATTTTAGTTTACTTTGGCTATTGAGTACCTATATTTTTCATATACTATGTAACATAAATTATGCTAAGGAATTACAAAATATATCATAAGGTGATATTACATATTTCGAAAAATAATTGAAATATTCGGAATTAAAATAGGATTTAAAATCAGAAGTACAAATTTCCTGTAACTTTATATACATTTCTGATTTCGTTAAAAAAAATCGGAAATCGGAACTTCAGAATGAAAAATATGGTTTTAAATTCAGATATATTTAGATCCAAATCGACGCAATTCAAAAATTATATTCCGATATCTACCCCTATCCAATGCCATTTTTTTTGCTAAATACTCGATGTTCAAAAGGTTACTGTCAATTTTCAAAAGATGTGTTTTAATTTTGTTAAGTTTCATGTTAGATTTTGTTAAAATACTCAATTATATAATTTGAATCTCAATTTCAGAAGTTTACATGCAATTTTAAGAAGTTCCTATCAAATTTACAACCAATATAATAAGTTTGTATTTAATTGTCAATTAATTTCAAATATTGGCTGTCAATTTCAGCCAATTTTTAGAAGTTATTTGTCATATATTTTTTAAGGGTAAACGTGTGTACCCTAGTTTTGAAAATATATATGAGGAGGTCCTATAAATTTTTCTGCCCTAGTCAAAAACTCAAATTATGATTTAAATTTGTCAGACCACCCTGAACCCATGTGATATGACCGTTTTATCCTTAATAGGCAGTTTAATTGAAACAAAGCCAAGGACGTCACTATCCTTCCCTAACGGCTTCCACGGAAAATATCCCTTTCTCTCATCAATATACGGATTTTGGCAATATTGCATCTGTTTTTTTCTCTAATCAGTATACGATTTTGTAGAGTAGAGTTCTCGTGGCGTAGGGTTTCCAGTTTGGATGATTTTGAACGTTCGTTTTTATTTTTGCAGAGCTGTTAAGATTCGTTTTTGTTTCATTTTTATATTTCATAGGATCAGATGGGCTTGTGATTTGTAAAATTGGTTGTGTTTTCTATTACCCGCATATGAATTAAATGTTCTTGTAAATTTGGTTGTGTTTGTGATTTTGATGGCTTCTCGCTGAAGAAAAAAAAAACCCAGACTAGTATCATAATTGAACTGTGTGTGCTGCATTTGTTGTGCATGAATAGTTGTGTGTTGTGTTAGTATGGATGATGGATGCTTATTATATAGTTTTATAGATCATTGTGGTCAACATAGGATCTATGTAGCATGAAAACTTCAACTTCTTAACGTTTATGTGTTTCGGACACGTTTTGTGTCAGACACTTGAGGACACTTGCCGGACACCTTATGGATCATTTTGCAATTTCTAAAAAATTAGAAACTTGTTTGAATAGCAAATTTTCAAATATATTTGTTGTTTCCCTAATTATTTGAATGATTTAATGATCAATTGCAAATTGATAATTGATATTAAAATTTATTTTGAATATGTTTATACAAAAATTATAAAAGTAATTTATATATAAATAAAAACCTATATACAATTATGTAACATATTTATAAATATACCCCTTTAATTTTAATATTTACACGTTTCCCAAGCTCTCGTATCCTCATTTATATAACATACATATAAATATACCCCTTTAATTGATACATGTTTATATAACATATTTATAAAACGTACAAAAATGATCCCTCTGTTACCAATCCGATTGTGGTGTGCTGATGTGGCAAGTTCTTTTTCCAGTTAATGTTTTTGATCAGTTTGCTATATCTATCTTATATATAAAAGAAAGAAACGCTAGGGCAACCCTAAGAAACCCTAATGTCATATTTGTAATTGTTTTTCAATTTTTATCAAATTTTTATCTGCTTAATATTATTTTAAATATTATTTTCGAATTTTATCATATTTGTATCCCCTAAATATTATTTTAAATATTATTTTTTATTTTTATCAGATTTTTGTCTCCTAAATATTATTTTTTTTTTTTATCAAATTTTTATCTCCTAAATATTATTATAAATAATATTTTTTTAATTTTATCAATTTTATATCTCCTAACTATAATTTTAAATATAATTTTCAAAATTTAGCAGATTTTTATCTCCTAAATATTATTTTCGAATTTTACCAAAGTTATATCTGCTAAATAATATTTTTAAATATTTTTTTCGAGTTTTATCATGTTTTTATTAGTTTTTTATCTCCTAAATATTAATTTTGTTTTTTATCAGATTATTGTCTCCTAAACATTATTTTCGATTTTTATCAAATTTTTATCTCCTAAATATTATTTTAAATAATAATTTTGATTTTAATCATATTTTATCTCCTAAATATTATTCTAATTATTATTTTCGTATTTTATCAACTTTTATCTCATTAACATTATTTTAAATATTATTTTCGATTTTTATCCAATTTTTATCCAATTTTTATCTTCTAACTATTATTTTAAATTTTATTTTCGATTTTTATCAGATTTTTATCTCCTAAGTATTATTTTTTGATTTTTTTATCAAATTTTTATCTCCTAAATATTATTTTAAATATTATTATCGATTTTCATCAAATTCTCCTAGATATTATTTATAATAATCTGATTTTCGATTTTTACAGAAAAGGGTTAATAAATCTGATTTTCATCCCTAGCGAATTTTGTGACATCGTTTTACATAATGTCTGCAACATTTGAATTTTATTTCTTCCCTGGCTTCTTCTTTTGGTAACCCGACTTTAGATTTTGTTTTTTATCTTCTTCATCCTATTGACTGTGTGACAATTAGTTTACATCTTTTTCCATCATGGCTTATAGGTAATTTCATTTTGTTAAATTATGTGTTTCATTAATTTATACCAAAGTTTTCAAGCGAATTTTGTGACATCGTTTTACATAATGTCTGCAACATTTGAATTTTATTTCTTCCCTACCTAAGGCTTCTTCTTTTGGTAACCCGACTTTAGATTTTGTTTTTTATCTTCTTCATCCTATTGACTATGTGACAATTAGTTTACATCTTTTTCCATCATGGCTTATAGGTAATTTCATTTTGTTAAATTATGTGTTTCATTAATTTATACCAAAGTTTTCAAATTTTATGTATAACAATTATTTCATTTTATATGTTATTGGACATGTTATTGAAATGGATGATTTGAGAGAATTAACCAAAAATGGGCGGAGCCACAAGCTATTGGAAGTCGACCTTCAAGACTTATTGTTTGTATGCGATATTTAATTTATTGTTTATATTTATTTTTGTTTCTTAATTTTCCAATTGTTAATTCCAGTGGCAAAACAGCCTGAAAATGAGGCAGTGGAGAAGCGCTTAGTTCCGATGCAAGATGTATAGATGGCCTTTTATGTTGTCGATAGTTTAGTTTTGATTATGTTAATTAAATTATTAAATCTAATTACTTTTAAGCTCAACATGAAAGACATAGTTGATGATTTTTTTCTTGGTTCAAATTTTCAATCTACTGGTATTAGCTGATTCAATTCATTTGGAAAATTATTCAACAGTAAAGTTATTTCCTTTTTTTTGTGTGTAGCAGCTTCAACAGTAAAATTCATTTGATGATGTTCCAGTATAATAGAATTTTGATCATACGATACATCAAACGTTTGTTTATATTCTTACAACATCAAAACAATGCAATTTGTTGTCCCGTGCATCGCACAGGTACAATTACTAGTATGTATAATAAAGATATATACAGTTTATATGTATAAAGATAAATAAATATTTATCCATAATACTTTTTTTTTTCTTAACCTAACAAAATATTTAATTTATATTTTCTCTACCACACCACCACCAGTTTGGACTCGCTGGATCTTCACACCATCACCACCAGTGGTGAGCTCGATGGATCTCCACCACACCGCCACCCAAATTCAATCAAAAAATACAATCCAATTAATATTTATCCCCATAAGAGGAAGATCCATCTATTGGCCCAAATTATTGTCCAAAATTAACACTCAACCCGACATCTCTTTACAAGGATGATTCATGAGATGACATCACCATGGTATCTCCTGTCATGACAAAATTGACATTGATCCATCTTAAATCACATAGTCTCCGTTGTATCAATTGCTTTGTAGAGTATTATTTTGCAACAAGAATCAATTTAGTGCCAAAATTAGAATCACTTCTTTTTCCTGTGGAGATGTTGATTTTGGATGAAATAAAATATATATTATGTTTCTCTTTCGCTGTCACTTTCCAGGCATTTTTTTTTACTG